TGTCTCTATGGCAATGTTACACGTGTATGTAATGAAAGAAAGTTGTTAGTTCAATCCTTGAGAAATTGAAATGTGAAACACGATGTAGTCGCTTCTGCTAATCACAAAGAGAGATTGTTTTATTCGACTTATTTTGGGACATATTTCTTTATCATGTTTCTTTTGGCTAATCCTCTAGAAATGTAATAAGGAAGTAGGTCATATATTAGAACAAGACATTGCTGATATACGAGCGAAGATCGTATATCAATAATGCCTGCAATGGCTACAGCTTCCTCGGGTTAGTCGAGTTCCGTACTCAGTCGGGCCCTGATGTGAAATTTTTCTGTTATCTGAGTCCAATAATTTTGGACCCGACGAGTTCTAGTCACGGCCTGTGAAGGGAGGGAATGGGGTCTATATTTTTACTCCTATGCTTCAACACTCCTTTTAGATCGTGCTACGCAAAAATAATTCATTGATTGTATTATTTTGATATATTTATTTTTCTTAGGTTAAATTTTTAAAATCGAAAGAAGGTGGTGCTATGGTACAAATGAATCATTGTGAAAATCTTCGACAACATTTAAAAAGTCTTAATTCAACATTTATTTTTGGTCAAACATTTATTATTGTGTAAGTTAAATTATTTATTTTGATTTAATCAAAAAAGAATTGTTTATTTTTTGTTAAAGTCCTTCGCGTCAACTTGAAATTCAACCAATGAATCGACCATTTCCATTAGAAAATGGTGAACCATCCTATGTGGAATTTGATAATAATCGTAATAATCGATATTTAACAAGTGATCAAGCAGTTAAAAATCGTCCGGTTGCACCATCACATGTTTTATATTATTTTAATACACCACCTAATATGCTGGAAGTTGATATTGTACGATTTTTTGAAGATGTTGGAGCAAAACGACCAGTTAAAGTAAAAAATTTTCCACCAAGAAAGGAACCACATCGTATGTATTTTTTTTTCTACAGAAATCAATTCATCATTATTTTTTTTTATAAATTTAGACGAACGCAACCGTCGAGGGAATAGTCAACCAAAAGGTGTTACTGGTCTAGCTGAATTTCGAACAATTACGGATGCTTGTGAGTGTTTAATTTTGGCAAATAACTATCCAATACCTCATCAATGTATGTATTTTTTTTTTGGTTTGATGAAAACAAAAATAAACAAAGATCTGATTTGTAATCATATTTTATTTCAGCATCCAATTGGCCTTTCTTTTTCAAATTGACATTTTCTGCAACACCAATAACCGATGAAGATGCACATCTGGGAGAAGAAATGGATACTAGTTTAGCAACAGTAACCATTGAAAATGGCCGTCGACATCATCGTCAAAAATCTCCTGATGATGATAATCGAAATGGAAGTTCTAGCGAACACCGTCGACGTCGCCATAGTAGTCCGTCAACATAATTTTTTTGTGTTTGTTTTTTCATATGTAAATTTTTCTTTATCTGAAAATGAAAAATAAACAAGAATAGAATTTTAAAAAGAATTCTATTGGTTGTGATTGTCTATTCAAAGTTCAAATAATTGTTATCTGAAATGGATTTCGCATACGATGTTTGTTAATACTTTTATTGAGTGAATAGAATACAACGATAATCTGATTGAATTCTTAATAAACAAACAAATGTAGCAAGTTTTAATGTGGTTTGTATCAAATATGTGAACGATTAGAAAAAAAAACTTACAGTTATTCATCTTATTACATAGTATCAAAACTTAGCATTATATGCTTATGTGATAGTCTTATCTGTCCTATAAAGAGTGATCCATAATCTCTGACTACTGATGGTCATGACTTAATGTTATTATGGTCACAGCCATGGCCATAAGCAATATTTTTTAAAAGTTGCGACTGTGATCATGATTAGATTTGGTCACAGACAGTCATGAATATTGAGATAGTCACATATCCTGTGTCTGTGTCGACTGCATTAATTTTTTCTACAACACAAACAATTTCATATTTTAAATTTATTCCAATGATTTATTCATTTTTTTCTGAATCAAAACAACTAGACACAAATGTTACAGCAGAAATTAGAACTCAGGAAAATTTTAAATTTTTCGAAATTCTAACTTCTCGTGAAACACAAACTTGACAACAAGCACAAAACGTAATAAGAGTGCATATTTTATTACAAATACAGTTAAACAAAGACACACGTCTAATGTTACTATTCTATTTTATTGAACTGAATCGAATTAATTAATGCGGTGCAAAGTACAGCATTTATGTAGTCCTTCGCGAGTTTTTAATGCAGTGCGAAACACAGCATTTATGTATTCCTTCGCGAGTTTTCTTCTTTCCTACTTTCCTTACGTACGCATCAGAAGTAGTCATCTTGTGTCGCAATAATCTCGAGAAGTAAATATCCGAAAATAGTCATTGAAACGTGAGATTCCAGTATCGAGATCGAACCGATAATATCCCTTGAGTTCATCTCCAAAATACCTTCGGATTTCTCACAAATCGTTTCCAAAAATGATAAATTTTTGGGGACTTCGGTTTTTTAAATTTTGAGATAATTAAAACGAAAATGAAGAGAAAAGTTAGGCGCCATTGTCTTTATTCATATGTCAAACAGCTGTAATCACAGCTGTATGTAGATAATAAATCATATAAATAATTAAACGGTCAATCGATATTGTCGCTCAGAAAAATGTTCATAGGCTTTTATAGAGTTCTTATGACGATGAATTTTATTATGGTACTTTTCAATTTTCTCGCGACTACTATCTGCTGACTCGTGAAAAAGTAATTTTTTGAATTCGAATGATACAGAGAAGTGTCTATGTTTAGTAGTCTGTGCACAGCCTATCCACAAGTAACGCACTCATCCATTTTTGATCCTCTAATTGCTATAACTCGATAACTAAAGGTGACAAAGAGCTGAAACTTGCACTACAGCAAGATATATGAAGGTTCTAGTTGCACTAAAATTTTCATTTCATTTGATCGAACTGCGACGATTCTCGAAGGATAGATAGTCGTAGTAACGCACTTATTCAAAAGGACTCCTTCCATCTGAATCACTCAAAAAAGTTCACATTTCTAAAAATTTTCTCGCTCTGAACAAAATGCTTTTATCTGTATTCGACGCTAAGATAACAGATCTGATGATAGTGAAGTGTGTTTTTTGGAAGCTTGTTCCTACAAAGAGTTATCACCAAAACATTACGGTAACGTACTCAGCACTTGGTAACGCACTCATCAACTTTTTTCGAGCTCCTTAAAGAAGCATATTTTTTTATAGCTTTGGCAACAATAGAAGATGATCCATTGATGTCAAACTGTAGCTCAATCTTCGATAATACAACTATTATTTCTATTTTTTTAAATGATAAAGTAGTGTTCGAACTATGATAACAGACAATAAGGCCCTTTTCTCATCATTTTTGTACAAAAAATGCTTGATTTTAGCTGATGACCACCATTTCTTTTCGCCATTATCCAAAACAAATGACATCTATCCATAGGAAATATACGAAAACCTATAAGAATTTTTTGAATGAATAAGTTCGGTCGTCTTATGTTCGAGAAATCTTCTGTTCAACTTTGACTACACTGGGCCGCCGTTAGCTGGACACGTTGTACAAGTTTCAACTAGAAATGACGATTGCTATTAACACGATAACCGGATTTTCGTTTTCTGCGAAATATCGTTTTTTCAAAAACTTGAGAGATTCGTGCTTCGCACTGCATTTTGTATTCGAGTCGAAATTCGAATACTATCTAGTCCAAAGAAGAAATTTAAGCAGTTCTTATAGATATCTTCAAAAAACATATAAAATCATTTTTATGATAAGATTAATATTTTGAATCCTTTATTAGTAGATCGTGACTGTCACAAATATTCTCATAATACAATCAGTTATTGATTCTTGATGTATTTATATACTTTTAACAGTGATTGAAACTATTTATATAGTTATTTAAACTTAAAAGTTGACTTCTTTTCTTTAATGAAACAAAACATTTGCTTCATTTAAATAATTTTCTTTTATTTAAAAAACATGTTTTCTTTTAATACAATGAAAAAACAAAACGAGAAAAAAATTATTGAAAATTTCTCATTGTTCTTTCTAAAAAAAGAAAAAATTAGAATAGAAATAATTTTTTTTTCTTTCTTACCAAAATCATCGTTTAATGCTTCAAGAAGGCTTAAAGCATCATTGATATTGCTGTTTAAATTGATAATATTATTATTGATCGTATGAATTTGATTATTAATCAGTTTCGATTGATCAATGAATCAATTATTAAGTATTCTAACAGAGAATATATTGTTGTATATCTTTCTCATTAATTATGTTAAGCTTAATCATCTATGTTAAAAGGAATTAAAGACAGTTATTTTCAACATGAACTTCAATCAATCAAATTTTCTTTTAAGAGTCATTGCTCGTTTTATTATTCAAACGAGCATACTTATTTGAAACAACTATTAATTTTTTCGAAAAATAATTTTTCTTCTAATATCTGCATAATAAATCCTATTGAACGCTTTGAAACATATTAAGAATATTCATTCTTATAGAATATTTGATAGTTTTGTTGCATTATTTGTTAGTTTCTATGGATTAGAACTTAATGAATATTAAATAATCTATTCTCCAGTGAGAATAGATATATTTCATAAAATATGAGAAACATTTAAGAGGAAAATTTCAGAGATGAATAAAATCTATTGATTCATGATTGACATGAATTTCTTAGTTCAATTGATAACAAGGAATTTATAATTAATGCTTTTTTCCAGAATGATCTACCTCATTTAAAGTGCTTCTCATTAACATGTTATAATGGTACTCAAGGATATGATAGTCTAATTGCACCTCTTCTTTGTCGAATATCACATCTTGAAGAATTAACTTTATATCTTCATATCTTTCGCGGAACCAAATTCATCTCTGGTACTGATCTTGATAATGGAATTCTTCTTTATATGCCACAACTTCATACCTTCACATTTTATATTAATTCTATGAATCAGATTCTTGATCCAGCTATTCGTCTATCTGCTACTGATATTGAACAAACTTTCACAAATATAAAATATGGACAGGTGATTTGCATGGTGGATTCTTTTGACTCTTACTATGTGAGATATCGCGTCTTTTCAATTCCAACAAAATTTCATCGTCTCGAAGATATTAAAAATAATATTCCAAATGTTGTATTTAATTCTGTTACTCATTTGAAATTATGGGACACAAATGCATTCAAACATGAATTTTCCGTTCGAATTGCTCAAGCTTTTCCGTTTCTTAAAGGTTTATCTATTACCAATACACATCAACCATTTTGGCCGTGTAATGAACATCATCTTCGAGACAAAGATTGGTGTTCAATTATTGAATACCCGTATCTTACTTTTCTTGACGTGAAACGTGTGAATCCTTATTATCTTGAACATCTTCTTAATGAAACGAAAACACATCTGCCTAGTTTAACATAATTAAAAGTTATGTATAACATTTTGAAAATGGTAACAGAAAACTTTACGAGAAATGATATGCGACACAATTGTAGAAGAGGGAAACGATTAATTGTTGATTATCCAATAGTTTATCCAGAAATTGTTGATCATTATTTTCCTTTACTGTGAGTTTAATTTTCTTATGTTATCCAGATACAAAATCTCTGTAAATTATTTTTTGGTTTTATAAAACTAAGTATGGTGCAGAAAATATAAGCCGTCTAGGAAAACGAAATCTGCTATGGAAGCTAAAGTCTTCTGTAAAACAATTGCTAATATAATATTGGTTGTTTAGATTCCATTACGACAGAAAAATTAAATTAGATGTTATTACCGTGTGGTGCGGTAGGGACAGATATTTTCATCGTGGTGGAAAATGTAGAAAAGGAAAACGTTGAAAATAATTATTGAATAGAAAAATGTGGAATAGGAAAATATCGAAACGATTGATCTTTTCCATTTGATAGATGATACATACGATGCTTTATTAATTTCGAATGAAAACGACAAGAGAAAATCGACAATATAATACAGTCTAATTTTTTTTCTTTCCAATTAACAAGGATAAATTTGAGAATAATTCTTTTGCGCTGATCTATTTCTTGAGAAATTTATTGCGCAGAGTGTCGAATTTGATTTGAGCAGCTCTTGGTTTTGTTTCAGCGCAGATGCGCCAGCATCAACTTGAACTGAAGTATGTTCAAAACGAACATGTTGACTTTGGATCAACTGTATAAAGCTTCAGGTATTAGGATGTTTTTTTTTGATAATTAAGTTGTACATCAAAGGTATAAAGCAAAATATAAATATTGAAAGGAAGATTTTTGAAATGGAATATGATGAACAAGAGCTTTCTCATTTTCTGAAGTACTATTTGCTCGATGATTTGTGGTATGAAATTGCACATTTGAGTCGAAACCGTACCATACATCCAGTGATGTTTTAAATATAATAATATACAACCTAATTATATTGAAATGATTGTTCGTGAGCGTTGAAATTGTCTCTCCATTTGATCTGTTTACATAAGACTTAATACCATGAACTGACGTCATTAAGTTTATTGTAATATATTGGTTGAATATAAGAAAATTTAATTTATAGAGAATAAAAAGTATGCTGAGTGAAGAGCGACCAATGAGAATAAAAGCAATGAAATTTCGTTACTCACATCTTGAAAAATGTTCGATGTTTTCTTTTTCTGTTTTTTTTTCATTTCGAAGTTTTCCTCTTCTACATTTTTCTGTTTGATAATTTCCTTCCCAGTAATTTTTTTTCTACGGTTAATCCCACGAACTCTTGAATTCGAAAGAATTTCTTATTGTCAACTCGTGTATTTTTTGATCATTTTCTTATGGAAGAAATACAAGAGATTTTGAATCATACATAAAAAAATAAGAATATAATTAAAAACCGTAACATTTGCAATCGAAATATTCTGATCATCTACCATAACTGACGGATAAGTTTCATGTGATAATTACACCTGTATAAACTAGTGATTGAATAATTTTATTGTTTTTCATCTCTTTTTAACCAAGAAAAGACTTCTTGCAAGTGTTAATTATGCAAGTGGATCAATTGATGATTTAAACATATCAAAATACGATTGTGATTGTGAATCATAAAAATGATTTTAATTAGAATAATAAATGAAGTTGCCACATGAATGTAAATGAGTAGGTGGGAAGTTTAGATTTTAATCTTGCAAAAATAATCTGAATGAATATCTTCAAAATGTAATGTACGTTCCATAACTGATTCATCATCACTAACACCAGTTCATATTTTTATCTTTTGAGAATATTTTTTTTTGTTTTGGATTGATGTTGAGAATCACGAACTATATTCTCTTTTCATATCATGCTTATTTATTGAAGATTTTTCATTCGATATTATTTGAGAAGATGTTGCGGTTGTTATGGAATCTGTTGATGCTTATTTTAATTCTTCTCAAGATTCAACTATCATTTCATTTGATACAAATAGAGAATATACATTGGTTGAAGGCCCCTATGTACCAGTTGTTGGAACATTATTATTTATGAAATAACGATTATATTGAAAATTTATATAATTATTTAATGAAGGATTTACCTTTGAAATACCTATAGATTAGAAAAATTCAGCAAACATAATCAATTTTTCTTCCTCAAGAATTTTTATTAATTAAATATTCTTATTCGTAAAACTCATGAATTACAATTAAATCTGATTTAAATAAATTCATCTAAATTTTGTTTATCCTATCAAATTAAATAAAAAGAAAAGAAACAAACTTTGTCGTAAAAAAGCTAGTGGTCAGATAATATTTGTTAAATTTAAATGTGTATTGTTATTATTATCATTATTTAGATAATTTCTTTATTCATTTGGTTGATTAAAATTAATTTGAAAAGATGATTGTGCTCTTTTTTAATCATATTAAATATACTTATTACGAGAAGGAGATTCATAATAAATATCATCTGATTCTCCTTTCGTTTGTTGTGATTATTGTTGTTGTGTGGATGAATCTAAACCTTTTTATGTACAGAATCCATATAATTAGAAAAAGCATTTTGGTGTTATCGTTGTGATGATGAATTACTTGTTGAAATGAAAATTTCTGCTTGAGAAAGTTGTTGTTGTGTTCGGCCTTGAGCTAAATTAATTTGTAAATTTCTTAATTTTTGTAGGATAGTATTACTTGCCATAGTTCCTGTTGAAGGATGATATGATGATGATAAATGAGGATAATTCAAAGGTTTTAATCGTGTTTCATTGAATGAAAAACATTTTCTGAAGCATTTTTTATAAAAAAAAAAAAAACGAAATAATTAAGAAGAAACGAACGATATTTAATAAATATCGCCGAATTTTGTCTTCTTTTGGTATAGCATTGAGAACAAGATCAGTAGGAGCAGAAGAAGAAAAAAGGGTGAATCATTGCAATAACTAGTGAAGAAATTTTTACCAATAATTGATTGATCATTAACAGGTAAGATTTGATTCCTTGTCTTAAAGTAGCTGCATTTGCTGAACCATCATCTTGAACTTGTTCAACAAAAACGTATCGATTGATTGAAGATTCGGATGAGAATTATTTACTACTATTGTTGTATCTTCTTGGATATTATCTGTAACAAAAACAAATTTTCCCGCATAACATACAACATAAAACATTAATCAATAAAGAAAAGAAAGAAAATGTTTTTTTTTTCTTTTCTGTTATACCATTTCTGGTAATTTTCGTAGCAGAAGAAGATGATGATTGCTATTCTCTTTGATAATGGATGTTGTTTTTCCACCTACGCCGCCACCAAGTCCATCCAATTGCTTTTGCTGATGTTCATCAATCACCACACTATACATAAGGCGATCATATTACGCAGACTATAAAAGAATTGAGATTTTTAAACAAACCGAAAAATATATTATTAGCAAATGTAAACAGGTATATTTTCTAACCTGATTTTTAACGAAAAAAAATTAATCTTCTTAAATAAAAAAACGAAAAAGTTAATTATAACTAGATGGTATTCGAGTTTCGACTCGAATACGAAATGGAGTGCGAAGCGCGAATTTCGAGAGTCGGTGAAACGGATTTCAAATCGAATACGCATAATTGCTATGGACATCCGTCATTATTCGATCTTACTTTCTGTGATCCGCTTGTTATGAAAATCAAAAATTTTTCTTTCACCGATTATGAGCTGAAGAAGCATGGTTTTTTATCAACTACTTGATCTAGCTCACACTGAACGTGGCAAACAGCCATTTTAAAGTCTGTCACAATCTGGATTCTACAATATGCCTATCAAGAACCTTCAGCAAAAGGCTCGTCAATAATCATTTAATTGTCTGAGTAGTTTCTTTTCTGTTATTAGCTGTGTTGTCAGCCATTGAATACATTAGTCAAGAAGAATTCAATCATATTTTGTCGTCTGTATTGTCTTGAGGTAAACACATCCTCAAATTCTGAAAAAAGTTTCTGTTTTTTTGCATACTGCGTACAAGTAAACGAAAGTTCCTAGAGAGCACGCTTAAGAAAGTTAACGATTCGGTTTTTATGCTGCTGGTTTGTTAATGGATACAAAGTACAGCATTCATGTGGTTCTTCACAAGTTTTGGGTGGGTGTGAGTGCGGGTGTCGGTATAAAAGTTGTGTTCAACGACACCCACGCTCACACACACACACTCACACCCACAGCCATACTCATACTCACACTCGCATTCACACGCTAACCCACATCCACACCCCAAAACTTAATTAACATCTTCCAAATCGTCTAGATTTGTATAGCTCAATGCGAACAATGTTTTCGACATTAGAATCATGTCAAAATCATGTAGTGTTCTCTTGAAAATTAGGCTTTATTGGTCCCACTTAAATTAGCTGGGTTTGTCAAATCATCCTATGTGGGATGATTTGGCACAACTTTTTTTTTTCAGAGGTCTTTTCATGAATGATCGTATATAGATCTAGTAAAAAATTAATAATCAAGATTAGTATAAGCTTGTAAAGAAATGTTTGCGCTATTGAATGATATAATTTTCATCAAAAATCGATTTGATATAGCTTGGAAGATTAGGTTTTATTGTGTTTATGCGTAAAAAATAGCAGGAATTACCAAATCACTCCAGATGGGATGATTTGGCACAGCTTCTGGCAGATCTCGCTAAGACCACTGTGGAAATGCTACTAGAAGAGATTTTCAGAAACTAAAAGCACCGTTGGATAGAAAAATATTTTCTCCACATATTTTTTACCAAAATTTTTTTCTATTATTTGAAATAAAAATGTTATAAACATTATAAGACAAAAATTCAAAATCGTGTGCCAAATCACCCCGCGTTACTCTATCATAAATCTAAATACTAGTGTATTTGCTACATATATAACTATTACAAAAGCTTTTCAGTACACGGGTATTTAATATCATTGTGTAAGTACATATGTACTTAGTATTGGTACTAAGTTGTATGTACTTTAGTAAACTGTACTTAAGTAAAAGCCCATAATATAATTTTTAAGTAATAAGTATTCGTACTTGTACTTACTGTACTTGTCTAGTCTCTGATATTGAAACAGTCAGAAGAAGAGTTCCAATTTCTAAAATAAATAATAACAAAATGAATCGTTTATTTAAAACCACCATCATTTAAAACATATGTACCACTGATCATCTCATGTGAACCTTTTTTCTCTTATTATCATCATACACGATAGACAAAAATCGATCTAAACTAATCTTTTTACTTATTTGTAAATAGCTTGATAAAACTATGTCAAATTGTTTTTACTCTAACTAACCTTTTATACTCAATCGATCCGTTTTTTTATAGTACTCAAAAAAAAAAGGTGAATGGCTCAACCTCTCGTTTTTGATAGATGTCATGAGTATCACCATCCCATTGAGTCACACATTAACCACTATAACCTTATCAATCGATTGAATTTAAAAAGGAAAAAAAAAACGTAGATGGGGCTTTTTTTCATTTTACTATTGTGTTGAATGGTTATAAAGAGAAGTTCAATGATGAATAAATCACAACACAATTGGTACACAGGATAGGTATGTTATAACCTTGAAATTATTATTTTAATATGGTCTATTGTTAGATGTATCAATTTATTGAATCAAATAAATTAGGAAATTATTTGTATCAAAGTTTTAGTAGTTCACTTCTTGAATTAAAAATTGTATCTCTAAAGCTATCATCACCCAATACATTAGTTTTATTATAACCAAACTCTAGTTTAATTGATAATTGTGCATATAATTTCTTTATATCAACGATTTATTGAAAGTTCACCAGCATCATCATCATCATCATCAAATACATCTTCATCGAAGTAATTAATTATTTCATTAAATATACATATGCAAATGTCACCAATATCAGAAAATAATAATCCGAATCATTCAAATAAAATGTTTGTTTCATCATCAAATTCAATCGAAAATAATTGTAAAACGAATAGTAATATGAATCTTACAACATCAAGGAAAATTCCAACATTATCAACAAATGATTGTATTCCAAATATTTCGTCATCGACTTCAACAGCAATATCAAATCGAAAAAGGAAATCTATTGTTCAACCAAATTCTTCAATCGATCAATGTAATTCACAAGATTTATCAAATAACCAACATCATCTTTCAACATCTCATGAAAATAATAATGATTATATATCAAACTATAAGCTTTCAAGTAAATAAGATATTTAAAAAAAGCTCTAAAAGATTTCATAGATATACAAATTTCTATATCATATTAGATTTTATCATCAGAATTGAACAAATTCCAAATCTATGGATGATCGATACTACGAATGGAAGATTAAATAAAGATGATAATGATAATAAAAAAGTATAAAATCAATTTTTATACTTAATCAAATTCTTGTTTTCATTATTCTCTTTGTTTTTAGTCTTCATCAAGAATCAATAAACAAATAGATACATCACCTATTCTTCATGGTTTACTAACATCTTCATCAAAATCAGTTGAAACTGATTTATTATCCAGTATAGAATCAACTCGTTATAATATTAATGAAAATCGTAATAATAAAAGTCCACAATATCGACCAAGACATTCTTATTGTTATTCATCAGAAACAAAATTTAGATCAAAAGATAATCTGAATAAGTAAATATCAAAAATACTTATGATGAATATTTAAAAGCCTTATTCAATAAAAAGAGTGATAGAAATATGTGATATTTAGAGAAGAAAAAACGAAACGATCTAAATTTAAATTTCTATCTGTATTCTATACATGATTATATTGAAGTAGGGCAGTTGAATAAGTAATGTATTTCTTTATGTTGAGAATAAATATTTCGAAAAGACTAATATTCGTCTTAAAATGTTCATTTAATAAGCATTATTAAATTAAAGTCTTTGATTAAATTTTCAATCACATAATTTCATAAAAATTTGACTAAGAAATTAGTTTTTGTATTTCCTAAAAGTGTGCTTTACAATTTCACGTATTTGTTTTTGCTCTTTCTTTTCTTATTTGTATTTGTGAGTAGACCTGTGCAGGACAATCCTATTCTGCAGCGTAGAGTATAATGAGTACTGGGTAGAGTAGGAGTAGGAATAGAGTAAGAGGAATGTGTAATATGGCTCGAAGATTAGTCATAACCTACTCTAGCCTGCAACGTAAGGTAAAGTTAAAATGGGAAAAAATAGAATAGGATACGAATCGAAACGAAGAAAAACATATCATAAGGTAGGATAAGAGTATTTAAAAAAAAAGTTTACTTTGTATATCTTCACTGATGAAAGTTTATTAAAGTAAAATGAAATGAATAACAACAAATGAAAGAAAAAATATTAAAAAGATGATTAAAAAAACTAATATTTTCATTTGTGTAATATTTGTTAGAACATCGAAAATGTCTCGTCAAGTATGTCGCTCACCTATATTTACAAGACGTCCACAACAACAAATACAAAAAAGAATCGATAATGATTTTGATAGAATACATCAACCAACGGCTTTACTTTCATTATATACAAATGAAAGTACTTTACTAGTTAATAATAATATGGATAATCAATTATTTAATGAAAATCAAACTATAATTTCCTTGCCATCATCATCAAAGAGAACAGATAATAATAAACGACCATTTGAATCTTCATCATCAGAACAAATTTTAATAAAACGGCGTTGTCAAAAAATAATACCAAGTAAATCTTGTGTTTTTTTTTAAATTATTTTCTCAAATGAAATTATTTTATTTTATTCGTACAATTTGTTTTCGTAGTGATTATAACTCAAAATCAGCTTTGTATATCGTATCCAAAGGATATTTCACGGTGTGTTGATTGTCGAACAATTAATTCATCAAATTTATCTACGAAACTGTCTAGTTGTCGATTTCAGCATTGTCGAACGTAATTTTTTTTTCTTTAATTTTCAATTATTTCTAATGATTTTCTAGACTTAAATCAATGAATCATACGTCTTTTATTAAACAAAATAGTTTGATCACTAATATTGTATTTGATTTTTTTTACACTATAAAATATTAAATCCTCTCCGGGTCTACCTTATGCAGAGAATCTAAACTCAAAAGCAATTCTCAAATTGAGAACCTTTCTTCGTCAGTATGAAACTAAACAATTTAAACTGATTCCTTCATTTCAAATA